CTGCTCCTGTTCCTGCTAATTGCAGTGTTCTCACTTCACACTGATGTGCTTGATAAGATTAGTGATTACAGAAATCTCATATGGCAATTGGATTGAATTGGGAGCTGTGTGAGGGAAATTGGACTGAGCTGCAAATAGGAATTAATTATAACCTGGCAGCAGTGAGATCTGAGGTTTTGAATATATATTTTTATGTATTGCTCAGTGCAACCTCTGGCTTTGTTGCAGGTGCGAGGGGTGTTGAGAGTTTCACCCACAGCAAGGACAAGCTTGCTGCCATCCAGGCTGTCGAGGGGCTCAGGCAGGGGCTGTCAGCATGACAGGCCCCGGGCTGGGGCTCCCGGTGCTGCCCCAGCACAGAGCAGCGTGGCCGGCGGTGCCTGTGGTGAGCTCAGCCTGCCCGAGCTCCCTGCCCTGCCTGCTCCCCGCCTGGCAGCGGGCCCTTATCTCCATTACCATGGCAATGCCAGACGAGCTCCTGCGGCGGGCTCGGCCGTGATGGCAGACGTGGTCCCACGGAGCTGAACGGCCCCGACAGGCTGCGGGGCTCCCGCTGCGCTGGGCGAGCTGAGGGAGGGAGATGCAGCCCTGTCCCCTTGCCCAGGGCTTAGGGTCCGGCTGGGGAACCGGGGTGAGACGTGGAGCTCTGCTCCAGCCAGCACCCAGAGTATCTCCCAGCCCTTCCCCACCCCGGCTCCCCGAGTCCCGCCGGGTGCCCCCGCCGCAGCAGGACCCCCCTGCAGCACAGCCCCCAGGGCTCAGCCAGACCTGCCCTGCGCGGGTGCCAGCCCGTGGCCCCAAATGCCCCAACTGACACCCGTCTGCACTGATATTAAAGTGTTTGCCGGCAGTTGCTAGTGTTTAACAAATCCTCCTGTCTGCTTTGTTTATGCCATTTTTTTTCCCTCCCACCTGAGCCTATTTGATGCTTTAGGCATTTTGCAAACATGTTAAAGGCAGCATTTACAACTCCAGTAGGCAGCTAGTGAAGAGCGGGTCACTGGAGACAGAGAGGAGAGGCAAGGAGAGATCCCTCACAGTGCAAAGCAGCCTCTGCCCTCATCCATCCTTGTAGCCCTGTGGTCTCACGCACTCCATACGCCAGCCCCGGGCCTGAGCCAAGCCTATGCCAGCCCCAGGGGCTTGCATTCATTTCTCCTCTGCCAGAGAAGATGGGGAGGGAGAGTCCAGGGCGGTGCTTGCTCTCTGCTCGCTGCCTTTCCCTGGCTACAGAGACAGAATCTAGGCCCAGGTCCTTGTTGGATTGCCAGCCTCAAAGTAGGAGAGCAAAGCTCAGATGGAAAAGCAAAATTCATGGAGCATGCACCCTGGAGCTAGCAGTGACAGGCAGCGCCGCCAACCCTGGGGACACCCTGGCAGCAGCGCTGACTTTTAGTGAACTGCCAAGTGCCGCGGGGCTGACAAGGAGCCGCAGGTCATCCCTGCTCCCAGCAGAGCCCCAGGTCCCCCAGCCTGGGGGGTCTGTGTCCCCGGGAGGAGCACGGACTGCTGGCTGGGGGGCACAGCCAGTGCCTGGTCCAGGGTGCAGGAACCCAGGAGTAGCGTGAGGGGGAATCGCTCTCCTCTGGCTTTCTCTCTCGCCTGATGTGACTACAAGGGATTGTGGGATTCAATTAAATTCTGTTTTCCTCCCAGTAACAGTGGGAGTCTCTCCTCTCGCCTTTAAAACAGACATGCTGCCATGGAAGACAAATGGTTGCAATAAAGCAAAGGAGCGTCCATGCCGGGGGAGGCTGATGCTCGCGTGCAGCCAGCGCTGCCTGGGGCGTGCTCGCCACTTCTGCACACCCGGTCCTGCACACCCACGCACTGCACACCCGCACACTGCACACCCGGTGCCACACACCTGGTCCCGCACACCCCCACACCCCCACACCCGATCCCACACACCCGGTCCCACACACTCACACGCCCACATACCTGCACGCCCGGTCTAGCACACCACACCACACCCCCACACATCCGATCCCACACACCCCACACCCAGTCCCACACACTCGGTTCCGCACGCCGCACACGGGGTCCTGCACGCAGCGTGTCCCACTGGCCAGGGCCACACGTCAGAGGCCCGGAGCAGGACCCCCCTGAGCAGCCCCCACACCCCAGTGATGGGGACGGGGGCCGTTTCACTGCCTCCACGCCTGCCCCAGGAGCGGGGGGGGGGGCTGCAGGGCCGGCTGCTGCCAGCGCGGGGCTCACCTGCGTGCCGCAGGGCAGCTGTGGCCACGGGTCCCGCCCCGGGTGGGAGCCGGGTTTTCCTGGCCACGGAGGTTTTTCTGTGCCGTCTGACGGCCCGAGGCGGTTGTCTGTTTGCTGGCCGAGTGAATCACATCCCGCAGGAACCATCGCGCTGGGAGGCAGCAGGCTGTGCCCGTGGAGGGCGGGGGGGTCGCACCTCAGACACAGCAGGGACCCCACCAAGGTGAGCGTGCCCCCCACGCGTGGCAGTGTGGACCCCCAGCACGGGAAACGCTGCGGTGGCTTTGCGCTTGCCATGCCCACCACCGGCACAGAGCAGCCCCCGCGGCCCCTCACCCCTGGCATGGCGGGGGCTGCGCGCAGGGGAGAACCCCCCGCCATGGAGCACCCCCCCTCCCCGCACCCACCACTGGACTGGGTGGCCGAGGGTTGCCAGGCAACGGGAAGATGTTTTTTTCTGACCAAAACGGTAAATCAGCAGCTGGGTCAAAGAGGGGAGGGACATGGCTGGGCTGGATCTGCCCGGGGTGGCACTCGAGGCTCCCCTAGCCCCAACAGTGCCCAAAAATCTGAGGAGGAGAAGCAGCCATTGCAGACGCACTCAGCCAAAAGCTGCTCCGGCCCCAGCCACTGCCAAGGCTCCCTGAGCACCGGCTGAGGAGAGTGTGGCCAGGGGACGGGGCAGGGTATCCTCCGTGGGGACAGCCCCATGGGCCTCCCTGGGGAGCCCTGGCCCTGCCGCGTGCCCCGTATGAAATTGAGCCCCTAATTTGCCCTCTCCCTCCCTCTCCAGCCATCATGCATGCAGATAAATGAGCTCCAGGCAATTTTCTCAGAAGTTGAGTCCTTGCATTGTGGGAACACAGGACTAAAAATAGCCAAGGTGTGTGCGTGTTTCACCCAGGTGAATCTTGCTCTGGAGATAAGGGTGAAGGAGGCAGCAGCTTCTCCGCATCTAGCCATCTCCCCCTGGCTCGGTTTCCTGCATGGGTCCTGCTGCCCAAATGTGCGCCATGCCATCCCCCAGCACAACCCTCGTGCGTCTGTGGTGGCCTGGGACCCCCGGGCATAGAGCCCCTCATGCAGGGGAAAGCTCCCAGGGCTCGAACACCCCTCAGCGTGGGCACGGCCAGCGATGGGCAGAGCTGCCCTCAGCCTCGGGCTCTCACCTGGCCACCTCCAACAGCCGCGCTTCAGCTGGGCATCCTCCGTCCTGAGGGGCTGCGTCGTGGAGAGGGCACACATCCCCCTGCTCCCCCCCAGGCCACCACCAGCATCTTCCAATTCAGAGGCTCATCTCAGCCCGACCCCGACCCTGACCATCCCAGGTCTAGCCCAGGGTGCAGAGAAGCAGCTACATTTCCTTCCCACAGTTACTTGATTACAAATTCAGAGTTAAATCTTCCCCCACAAGATGCCCCTCTCCACCCCTCTGACTGCTTCCAGTGCGTTGAATGTTGAACACTTTCCAGGGATTTTTCGTGTGTTCAGGCTGACCCCATCCACTCTAGTTCAGACTAACTTAATCAGCCTCATTTTATTGCTAACTGCTGTAGCTTTACACCTCTAGAAAAAGCACTACTTAAATTATTGGCACCTGCCAAGCTCTCGCCACGCTGCTTTCTCTGCCCCTGTGGGGGCAGGAGGAGGGAGGGTGGATCTGTTTACTGCTCCCAGCCTTTATTTCTACCAAAAATGACAAATTATTAGAATGGTGGAAATTAGAAAAATGGCATTTAGGTAACAGACAAACCTCCCTCTTTTCTTCAGCAGCATCTGGTTAAAAGCAGATTTGGAAATGGAAGGTGGGGAAAAAAACAGGGTAATCTGCTGAACACTGACAGCCGGGAGGGGGATGCTCCCCAGAGGGACAGGGGAGGGAAACAGTCCAGGGGATGCCCTGAGAGCAGTTCATCCGACACCCACACTGCTCACAGCACAGAGCATTTGGGAGACGCATCCCAGCAGCACCGTGGCGGGGGCACAGCTGGGAAGAAACTGTTGGGTTTGTTTTCATACCAAAACGCTGCTGGAGCAGATCACCACTGCTGTGCAGGAGCTGGCCCAAGATGCCATCATTTTGAGTGAAAAAGGGCTGTGAAGCTCAGAGAGCAGCAGGGAGGGCTTCCACCCTTGTGCTGGCATGGGGCCAGAGCTCAGCTGTGCCCCAAAAAGCCCCCCCAGGGGTCTCCTGGAGTCCCTAGCCCCCCACGAGGGCAGCTCTCCAGCCCACGCAGCCCGCTGCTGACGGAGAGCACAAAAACATCATCATATCCTTAATCACCAGCTCTGCTGGGAAGGAGCACAGGGGCCAGGCTGGGGGAGCTGGTGAGGAGGAGGAAGGACTCAGGGGAGCACGGGAAGGGGCTCTCCCTCGCCGCAGCCCCATCCCCACACAGGCAATACCCTGGCTCAGCTCTGCCCCAGCCAGGACAGCCCCAGCTCCCCCCTGAGCAGGAACAGCCCCTTTTCCCACATTCCCTCTTCTCCCCAGGAGATTTGCTCCCTCCTCACCCTGTGGCAGGTCAGCAGCATCAGGGAAAAGCTTCTGAAATGCTTTGAGCCCCTGCGAGGCTGCTGGGAAAGGGCAACACCACCCAGAAGAGTAGTCGCTGCTCCATGGCTGGGCAGTCCCAGGGTCCCAGCTCTGCTCCCCCCACCCCTCCACGGCACAGGGAACTGGCAGGGAAGATAACAGGGCCCCGGGGGATGCCACAGCCACAGCAATGAAAAGCAAAGAGAATGCCTCAGGGAAACTAGGAGCCAGGGCACCACCTGCATCTGTTTTAGAAATTACTTTATTGCACTAAAAAGGGGAAGTAATCTGTAAACAAACATTCAATTCAGGTATTAATATATTTTATCACTCCAGAAATGCATCATTAAATCCAGCCACAGAAATATCAAAGCAAGAACAGTAGAAAATAGCTACAGGGGAAGAAAGACCCAGCCAGGCCACAGTCCCGGCTCCCACACCGTCCACCCTCCCATCACGGGAGCAGGGCTCACAGCAGCACATCCCAGGGCTCGGTGGACAGTCACACACCACTCAACTCCCACGAGGGACCCTGGGACAGGCTGGGGGGGATGGGACAGAACAAGCCCCCAGGCCCTTGAGTCTCGCCCCAGGGCCAGCCCCAACCCAAGGAGAAGCTCAGGGGCCTGCTCTCAGCATCCCCCTTCCCCAAACCCAAAGGCAGACAGCTCTGCTGTGGGGGATGCGCCACTTCCCAACCCTCTCATAGAGCACCAAAATCTTTGCCCAGCTCCTGTTCCCCCTCCCCTGGCAGCCTGCTGGCTCCCTCCCCCCCAGCAGCACCCGGCTCCCACCAGCCCCTTGCAGGCGCAGCACCCTGGGGACCTCAGCACCCCAGGGACTGCAGGGGACTGGAAGGGTCCCCTTCCTGCCCCGGGTCCGCTCAGGGGCAGGATGTTCGCCCCCAGCCCAGGGACGTGGCCCATCTCCTTGTCCCACCCTCCCCAGAGCCCCCAGGGCAAGCCTGGGCACTCGGGGCCCACGAGTGTCCCCCACGTTGGCTCCTAGGGTAGCGGTGGGAAGCCTCAGGTGGGAAGCCCCCCGCAAAGGAGGAACTTGTTTGCTCCTTACGTCCTGCACAGTTTGTTTTCAGACACAAGCTCAATAAACAGCTACGATCACCCTAAATCCCCTTGACATGCAAACACTGCACTTATCAGAACCATGCCTTGCGTACCTGAAACATATTTACAGACAGAAGTAAAACACGCTGGGAAAGATCAGCCTCGGATATAAATAGCCAACACTGAAATCTGCCATCTGCTGCAAAGGACAAGGAAGGAACATCAACTGCCACCAACAGAGGTTAACACAGAGGGACACGTGTGTGCGTGTGTGTCCATGTGTGCTGCAACGGGCAGGGACAGGAGCACTGCGAATTTTGCTCCCTTCCCCAGAAACATGCAGAGCCCGATGCAATGGGTAACACCACACCAAACAACAAGGTGTCTGTTTGATCCACCTGCAGAAATGCTCCAGACGGCATTTCCCCCACTCCCGGTGCCTCCAGCCGGCCAACTGGGATGGCAGGGAGGGATGGAGAGGGGTGGGAGCCCCCCACTCCACCCCAAAGGGAAACTGCAAAGCCAGGCCAGTCCCTTTGGGGAGTGGGGTCCTGCTGGGCACAGGGGCTCGGTGGCCCCATGGGACATGTCCCTCCTGCCCAGGGGGTGCAGCCATGCACAAGCCCCCACAGGCGAGGGAGGGCAGAGGGTATGAGGGCCCCAGCCTGCCCCCCTACCCAGCGACACCTCGGAGTGTCCCCAGTGCCAGCCAGATCACCAGCACTCTGGGAGGGCCACTCCTGTCACCTCGGCTTTTCTCAGCAAGCACGTCTGTTGGGACACTGCCCAGGAGCACCCATGTGCCCAGGGAGAGGGGTGCCAGGCCCCCCCATGGCAGTACCAGCCCCTGGCACCTCCCTCCTGCGGGCAGGGGACAGGCACGGGCAGCCTCCTGGATTTCAGCAAACCCAAAGCCCCAGAAGCCCCATGAGCAGTTTCCCGCAGGGGCTCGGCGGTGGGGGACACTGCTAGGGGTGGGCAGGGAGGGTGTCCCGAGGGTCTGCAGGTGTTGGACCAAGCCAGCTTGCACATCTGTGCAGTCCCACAGGGCTGGGAAGAGTCCAGGAAAGGCTCAAAAACCACAAACCTGACTCATCCCCCAGGGTCACCTCCCTTGACCCATTCTTGGGTCACCTCTGCAGTATTTTCTCTGCAGTTTCCAAGACTAGACACTTGTCTTTTAAATTAAAGCTGAGATCAACACTGTCACCAGACTCCAGCAGCTGAGGCTTTGAGAGGTGGCAGGAAGTATGCTACAGAGATCTACCCACCTCCAACCTTCGTGCCGGCCAGCTGGAGACCACGGGCACCAGAGAGGGAAGAGCCCAGCAGGTGACATCCATCCTTCCCAGTGGAGATGGGGCTGGTGGCTGCCCGCTTCCTGCTGGGCTCCAGGAGATGCAGCCTCGGGAGGGAGCAGGGGGGGGAGCAGAGGGGAGAGGCTGCGGCCGCCGGCCCTGCCCACCCTGCCGCAGGAGGGCTGGTGCTGGCAGAGCCCCACGGCAGTGCCACCCCCGGGGGCCCCCACGCTCCGCCACGGCCCCATCCCTCCTCTGAGGGGCCCTTCAAAGCCCCCCTCCAGTGGGGCCAGGGGACAGGACGGGGCCGGCCCCCCCGCCTCGCCCCAGCCCCACGGGCAGGCAGCTCCCTGCGGGGCTGGCAGCAAGCACCTACAAGCAGGACAGGAGGGTGGTGAGCGGCAGCTCCTTCTCCCCCAGCAGCGTGTCCCGCTTAAGGCTGCTGCCCTTGTTGACCACCTTGAGCTTCAGGGACATCTTCCTGGCGTGGCCAAGGCCCAGCCCATCGAAGAAGAAGTCCTCGTTGAAGACGGGGTTGCGGCTGTTCTTGACGATGGTGCTGCGCTGCTTCTGCAGCTTCCCGGGGTTGAGGCACAGCGAGACGCAGCAGTTGATGCTGCGCAGGTCAACGAGGGCGTCGTAGAGGTCCTCGGCAGAGACAAGCCGCACACGCAGCCGGGCGTTGGAGGGGTCGTACTCAGCAGCCAGGCGCAGGCTCCCGCCCCGGCTCAGCCGCAGGCTGTGCTCCCGGTCGCGGCCCGGCGGCCTGTCCAGCGGCAGCAGGGCGGTGGGCGGCTGCCCCCCGGCCGGGGCACTCCGGGCGCGGCGCTGGGCGCTGGGGCTGGTGTCAGCTGAGCTGTCGTCGGTGGACAGGGAGCTGTTGCGGGCCACCGAGTGCTTCAGCTTGATGACCTTAGACTGGCTCTCCTGGCTGAAGATCTTCAGCAGGGAGACAGAGCGGGAGAGCAGCGGGGAGCCGAAGGGCGAGGACTCTGCCGAGGAGCACGTGTCGCTCTCGCCGCCGCTGAAGTAGCGGCCGGGGTGCATGAGGGCTGCGCCCAGGTCAGTGGGCGCCCGCGGCCCGCTGTCACCGTTGAGCTTGGCTCTGCGCTGGGCACTGGGCGAGGTGGCCGGCGAGGGGCAGAGGCTGCTGTGCTCGCTGTGGAAGAGCGACTCTTTGCGCCGCGTGTGGGGGCTCTCCACCAGCGTGGCAAAGCCGTAGGAGGTCTGCGCCTTGGGCACGTAGGGCAGCGACATGGCGGTCTGTGCCTGAGGGTCCACGTTGGTGCCGAAGCCCCCCTCGGCCGTCCAGTCCTCGGCGCTCTCGATCTGGATGATGTGCTGGCCGGCAGCCCGTGACCGGGGCCGGCTGGATGGCCGGGGGCTGCGTGGGGGCTTGCGCCCAGCCAGGTCCTGCTCTGAGGCCGAGGGGCCCAGGGCAGGTGCTGCGGGGGGTTCGGGGCCCTCGGCCTCAGTGGGTGCTGCGCTCAGCTTGGGTGGGATGAAGAAGTCAGGGATCTTGTCAGGGGTGAGGACGTTGCTGTAGCGGGATCCCCGTGGGGACTCCTCCGGCCCCGCACCCCGGGACCCGCCATTCTCCGCCACGCCACGCAGCCGCTCCAGGAGCCACATGTTGCCGCCGGGTGCGGGGCTGGAAGAGACCCGAGGGGCAACGCTGTCACCGGGGGCTGGGCACTGGCAGGGGCGGGGGGGGGGGGGGGGGGGGGGGGGGGGGGGTCAGCCTGGACATGAGATACCAGGACCCGCGAGCCCGTGGGGATGGGGACAAGAACGGGAAGGAACCGGCCGCACCGAGGGACACGGGGACCCGCCAGCCCGGGGGGGACGGGAAGGAACTGGCCACGCCGATGGGCACCGGGACCCGCCAGCCCGGGGGGAACGGGAAGGAACCGGCCGCGCCGAGGGACGCGCACCCGAGGGACGCGCACCCGCCGGCCCCGAGCGATGGGACGGGACGGGGCGGCCGCGACGCGATCCCCGGACCGACCGACCGACGGACGGACAGACCGACCGGCGCCGCCGCGAGCGGGAAGTTGCCGGGAGCCGCCGCACCTGGAGCGGAGCCGCCGCCGCCGCCGCCGCCGCAGCACCGGGCGGGGCGGGCGCGGACGCGCTTTTATACGGCGGCGGCGGCCCCGCTCCTTCCCGCGCCGCCGCCGTAATCCTCCGAGCGCGGCGCCCCCGCATTTCCCGCGCCGGGGCTGGACCGAGCGGCCCCGGGGTGTGGATGCTCGGGGGGTGCGGGGGCCCGGCCCCGGGACACCCGGCCGTATGCCCACGGGAGCGCCGGGACTGGGATGGGACCAGGAGCGGGGGGACCCTGAGCCGGGATGAGGACGGGAGCGGGGCGGCAGCAGCCCCGTGGCCCCCCCAGTGCCCCCCTGCCCTGAGCGCGACCGGGGTCCGAGGCCGGCGGGCCGGGGCCGTTCCCCCCGGCCCCGAGCTATGCCCGCTCTCCCCTCCGATCCTCGGAGCTCACCAAAGCGCTGGACAAAGCCTGCAGCGCTCCATGGCGGCTCGGAGCTCAGGGATTGAGTAGTTTAATACCGTGGCTGGAGGGGAGAGGGAAGGCAGTGCCACATGTCACCCATCTCACCAGCACCTTGTGGGGACAGTGCTGGGGCAGGATACGGCCCAGGCAGTGCTGCGGGGCACCGGGGGCAAAGTGTCAGGAGGATCCAGGCAGCATCACTGCAGGCCCCAGTGCTACTGGTCAGCAGGGGACTTGAAGCAGGGTGATCAGCCCAGGTACCACATGGATTTACAGCCTTGGGGACGGGGATGCACCGAGCAGTTTGGCAGCACGGATGGGGGCCGGCAGCTGTTCCCTCCTGGCTGCTGCCCTGCGGATGCGTCAGGCTGCAGGGAAGGCACCGTCACCCCTGGAGGGAGCACCAGGAAGAGGAGCCTGGCGCTGTGACCTCCTTCTGCAAGGGCTGCTGCAGCCGGGCGGCGACTGTGAGAGGTGGGAGGCCTCGGCTTCCTCTGCATCCTGATGCAGAGGTGATAAAAAGAGATGTCCAGCCATGCTGAGCCAGACCAAGGGCCAGCAGCCAGCTCTGCTGACGCCTGAGAAAGGTGGCAAGAGAGAAGGTCCCCAGGGCCTGGGGGAACGACTCTTCTCCCACTTGGGAAGCAAATCTCCCTCCCTTCTCCCTGCACGCACCGGTTTCGCCACGTGCCCTCTGCCTGCTGCTCCCAGGCCTCTCCCAGCAGTGAGCTGGTGCTCCCTGGCAGGGCGAGTGTTCTGATTTATGAACTTTTTTGGCACATTGCTCTGCCTGGCTGGGAGCAGTGGCTCAGGCCAACAGCAGACCCCCACCGGCAGTGGGCCCTTAGGCACAGCTGCCCCTTGCTGGCACTGGAGTGGACCTGCAAAGAGGTGCTAGGACCCTTCAAATGGGGCACTTGGGGAGCAGGAACAAGCCAGGACCTGGAGGGTTCTGGGCAGGGATGTACCAGGGGCAGCAGTGGAGATGGGGGACAGTGGTGTCCTGGCTGGACACTGGGTTCTGCACTGCAGAGTGCTGAATCCTGGATCCTGCGAGGAGGAAGAGGGCAGATGGAGCCTTGGAGAGGAGGACGAGGCTCACAGGAGGGGCAGGATGGTGAACAAAAGGCTGGTGTTTGCCTTTCCTCCACCCTGCACAACGGTGGGTAAACAAGGTGCAGAAATGGTTGAGTTCCCTTAAGATAACAAAGTGCGCTGGGGCTGGGCCAGCACTGCCCGCTCAGCTTGTGGCCAACCATCTCTGGGGCACGGAGGGGAGCAGAGTGCTCAGAGCTGCCTGCTGCCTGCGATGAGCTTGCCTGGGCTCAGCTCGGGGCAAGGCTTCCAGGCTTGAGGCAGGACAGGAGCTGCAGTGGTGGGGCAGAGATGCCAGGGTCCCAAATGCCCCGGTTCCCAGCGAAGGGATGGCAGGAGAGACCCTGCGCTCGAAGCAGGTGCTGGCACGGGCGCTCACACCTCCGGCACCTCGGGGACAGCGGGGTGCCATGGACACCCCTTCCCAGCAGCGCAGGCATGGGGCTGCCAAACACCCGCACTCACCTGCAGCACTGCGCTGCCATGGCCACTGCTGGACCCGAAACAGCAACGGGCAGAGGGCAAACACTCCCAGAAAACAAGATTCACAGGGCCTCCAAACTGGGCTCTGGACCCTCGCTCAGCACGCAGTAGCATGGAGCTGGGAGGGGTGCCTTTCCTTGCTGGTCTCCCCCTCATTCAGGGCTCTCCGTGGATCCAGGCAGTGCAGGGTGGCAGGAGGGGACAGCTCTCGGGGTTCCAGAGCTGCCTCCCCAGAGCGTGACGTGGAGCTGGACAAGGCCCAGGTGAGATGGACACGGGCTGGACTCTGCCGGAGGTGTGCGGTCACTGTGGGTAAGTGACGCTGGGCTGGGGATGCTGGCAGGGCTGGGGACACTGGGACACTGGCAGGGCTGGGGACACTGGCAGGGCTGGGGACACTGGGACACTGGCAGGGCTGTGGATGCGGCTGGCAGAGCCAGCATGTGCTTCCACCTGCTGGAAGCTGGTAAGGAGAGAGCCTGGGGAGGGGAGGGGGCTGGAGCCAGGAGCCCAGGATCCCCGGGGAATGGGCTGAGCCCCCATCACAGCCCCTCCTGGGCAGGAATGCTGCACACATTTCTTACCCAGCTGGTTAGTTATTGCCATGAAACTTGCTGTGAGCCAATGTCAGGCTCTTACCCCTCTGTCCAGGAAAAGAGAACTGGGCAGTGTTTGTTGTCAGAGCATTTCAAGACAGACAGAAGGCTGGCAAGATCCCCAAGGCCCTGGGAGAGCAAGGAGGCCCCGCCCCTCTGCAGTCACCCTTCTGTGGCTTCCAAACCTTCCAAAAACACGTCAGCCTCCCTACCATCACACAGCCTGAAGGAGCAGCACTGAGAGGCAAGTCACTCTCCCCATTAGCCTGATGTTAACTCTGGAGCCTACAGACTGCTACTCCAAATGCACCAGCAGCCACCAGCGGTTTCAGCATGAGTACTGCTATCTGCCTCACTCCACTATTGCCTGGCCACAGGCTCCCTCCCGTGGGCCCCCTCCTCCCTCGCCCTTGGCCCAGCAAGGACCAGTCCAGAGCAGAGCTGCACTGAGGCGCAGAACACTCAGAAAGAAATCCAATTTCAGATGGGAGCACTCCCTGGTGCTCTGACTGCATTATTCATGTCCATACTTAACTCAATCAAGGCCTCGTGTTTCTTTTAATTGATTTTGTTTCAAGAGCACTGCTGTGCAGCTCCCAGCCTACCTCCCTGCCACGGGGTCCTGCCCCCACAAAGCAGCCCTACAGCCCAGGGCTGGGGGGTGGGGGGCGGGGGGCAGAGCCCCCTGCACCCCATGGCTGTCAGCACCACACATCAGCCTCAACCAAAGTGGCTAAACCTGTTGGAGAATGGCTAAAGGAGAAGGGACATGGATCTAGAGATCCTCTTTGCGACGAAAGTCTCTTTTAAGTTAGCATGAGTAGGCCTTAATTAGCAAAAGAGAACAAGAGTAAATGGAAAGGTACTGACTAAGGTCTTAAGATGAACATTCTCTATCCCGTGACGGTTGGGAAACATTCCTTGTTCCTCTCTTATCAGTGGGAGGATGGAGAAATGAGCATTCTTTTAGCTTATCTGTGTTTTTCCCAGGGCTTAAGGCCAACAAGCCCCGGCATGTCCTTCCTTGTCAGTTGAGCAACAAACTGCAATAAGGGATGGGCTTGCTTGTATTTTATCCAATCAGTGATTGACTAGCAGGCATAATTAGCAGAAGGATTATAAAAGGCTGTAACGAAAATCAATAAACTGAAGCATGCTTTATCACTCATATTGAGTCGGCTGCGTTCTTCCTCCTTTAGCCTGAGTCCTCGGCATGTTGGGCTCGCCTTGCCTGACATTTGGCGCCCGAACAGGGACCCTCGAGAAAAAGGGACCTGAATAGAACGAAGGGACCCGGCTGAAGGAAAGGAGCAGGGCGCCGGGAGCAGCGACCGGCGGGCAAAGAGTGACCGAACACTGCGTCCTGGTGTGTCGTCTCCGACGCCTGAACCGATTGAAGTTCGCCACTGCAGGGGCTGCAGGCTGAGGGCTGCAAGGATATTGTTTTTAAACAGGCATTAAGGTATCGTGCACGCAATTATAAGTACTGGAGGAGGCATGGATTTTGAAGTAGCCCTAGATTTATTACAGAGCTTTTTAGAAAAGCGGGGGATAGATAATAGTTGCATTAAACAGCTAGCTGGTCTAGTAGCAACAGGGAAAGCAAAGGGGTGCTTTAAGGACTCTGACCTGTTGTTTGATGAAGGGGAATGGAGGAGGTATGGAGATATACTGTGGGATATGGTGATAGATGATGATAAACTTGCTAAGAAATTAATGAAACCTTGGAGGGAGGTAATCAATAACATTAAGCCCCATAAGGTTGAGAAGAACTTGGCTGCTGTGGCTTCTCAGAAATTAGGACACTCAGAGTCATCTGCCCCACCGCTAAACGCAGGAGTGTCCAGTTTTTCGAGCGGACCTGCCATGCCAAAACCGGGGAGTGATTTGTTGTTTAGTACAAGCAGGGTGCCGGTGCCACCGTGCTGGCAGTCCGTACGTGTTACTGAGAATTTCGCGGAAGAGGTAAAAGGGACCGGTGAACAGATAGAAGCAGAAAGTATTAAGGAGCAAGTGATGTCGGAGGATGTCGGAGGGGAGCATAGCAAGAGTGTTGGTGGTAGACAAGTTACAATGGTGAATTGGAGAAAGGTTATGGAAGATGCCATTGATGCGGGGGATTTTTCTCCCTTTGCATTTCCGTTCATGTTTAACAGAGATGAACATGGCGATCTGCAGGGGCAGTATAATTCTATCAGTTGGAAATTGCTGTCACAGTTAAGACAGACAGTATCGGAATCGGGATTGCATGGAGAACCTGCAAAGCAGTTTTTGAATTACATTTGGGGTAGTACGGTTCTATGTCCTGA